GGTGTAGGGAGTTAAGAGAACAATCCCTTTAACTTCTTGGTGTAGGGAGTTAAGAGAACAATCCCTTTAACTTCTAGGTGTAGGGAGTTAAGAGAACAATCCCTTTAACTTCTTGTTGTAGGGAGTTAAGAGAATAATTCCTTTAAGATATTGTTTTGCAGGCAGTTATCTGAACTGATCCCTAGTTATTCAAGTGAAGAGATGAGCATGTTCAGCGCAGTCGCTGCTGGTCAATCTCAGGCTGTTCAGTTCTGGACGGAACATGTAAACCAGGTTAGAAAATTCTTCATTTAAAAATTAACATATTTTTAATTTTAAGGAACTTTCGAATGGGGGTTGTAAGTGTAATTTGAGTGACCTGAGCAAGGCGCTTTTATTTTGGAAATCAAAAATCCTGATTGTTTGATTTTTCCAAATCTTCATTTTTGTAATTTCACCCCTGATCAAAGCTCCCTTCAACCTCTGACTGGAAACAATTACCATGCTGGATATCGAATAAAGAGTAAACTAATCTGCAGATTAACAAAAGATCTTGATATCAAAAATACAAGATATCCCAGCTTTGAATAATCAAAACACTAATTGAAGTTGAGCAATTAAATATATTTATTTTATCATTGGAACTGTAAAATATTATAATCAATGACCAGTTTTTTAACTGTGAAAAAGGAATTTTCAAACAAGCAATGAGAAATTTAGGTTTTATTTAGGTGAAATCAACTGTACCTGCTGATCGTCTGTTAGTTTGGGATGTAAGAGAGGGTTGGGAACCACTTTGCCAATTCATGGATCTTCCAATTCCTGATGAACCATTCCCAAGGTTATTTTTGGTTTTATTATAAGTTAAAAATATGTTTTATTTATCAATTGAATTTTATTTATTGTAGAGTGAATGACACAGCTTCAATAGAAGGCGCAAGGAAAAGAATTCTGTATTCCTCCTGGTTCTTTGTCGTCTTCCTTCCAGCATTCATGTTGCTTGCCGCATGGAGTTTTGAATTCTACAGCCCGGCGCCATTTTTGTTAATGGTTGTTGGATATTGTTTAATCATCAGCGGTTTAAGATCAATAATGCTAACATCAGTATTGAAGAATCACACAAAATCAGACTGAATTGTATATAATTAGCTAGAATCATAAAAACTTAAAAAAGATAATGACTGGAAAAAAATATTGCACAATCTTTCGGTGTACATTTTTGTTTTGTTTAAAGGAAATAAAATATCTTGGTGTCGTTTGTATTATTGCATTGTATACCATATTTTTACCTTCAAAATTAACGAAGTTATTAGGAAATTTTTCCAGATTCCTGTTTATTGAAAATCAACAAAACTGCTCAAATATTTAATATCTCCGTCAATAATGCAAAGAAGATGGATCATTTTTTGGGAAGCTCTTTGGACTTTTAAACTCTTTTTGATGCACTTTATATCATTTATCAATAATCGGAAATCAAAGACAATATTCAAGTTATCTCTCAATTCCCATGTTTTTTGGGACACCCTATATCTAAACAGTAACTTGCTCTTCCTTCAAAAGAAGGTCGCAGAACTTAAAATGAACAATTGCTGTAAATAAGCGTATAGTGACTAAACTCTTAAACTTTCAATATTTTTTGTAAATGTTTAGTCCTCTAAATAAACTGATTTCTTAGTAACTGATTTAACTCTTTTTCTCTGATCAAAAACTAGTAGGAATAACTTTTATACTTTGTCAAAACCTTTAGGGTTTACACCACTTTAATCAAATAATAAACTCTTTAAATCTCTCTAATAATAATGAATCTAAAACTCTAGAACTCTGTCTTAAACTATCTCATATTTATCCAACCTACTGCTTCTGAGTGAAAAGAAAGATATACCTTTAAACAATTTCTATTGATAATCTGGTAGCATGAATATTACAGGATAGACTGACTGCATGAAAGATTTGAAACCCCTTTTATACCCAAGCGAGCCTAGCCTAGCCGAGCAAGCTTGTTTGGTACAAAAAAAACATCTCAACATAAACAGAAAGAGTTGCTGCAATAGGCAGGGGCGGCTTATGGTATTCTCCAATAATTGATTTATTGGCAAAAAGTTCCCCTCCCCCCCAGAAATTTTGTTATCGACATCTTGAGCAGCTGGGGGGTAGATAATGAAAAATGTTTTAAAAGATTTAGATTTTTTACAAAAAGTGGCGCCGCTGGGAAAAATATTTGAAACTAATCTTAAGAATCAAAATTTAAGGGCTAGAAGGTGCCATGCTCTCTTGCGCTCATCATTTTTTGAAAAAGGGGGACGTTCGTCCAATTTTCCATGGGGGGCGACGTCTCCCTTGCCCCTCCCCATAAGCCCCCTCTGGCAATAGGATGCAGTACATCATCTGGTTTAAGCTATTTTTAACCGGAGCAGCTATTATAGCGTTCAACTGTAATATTGCTTTTTCTTAATTGTTTAGTTGCATAAAATTATTTGTTATAAAACTATTGAATTCACGGAAATTTCCTCGTTCAAAAATTGGTATTTATTTCCGTACTCTGGTGTATAATTACCAGTGGATCAAAGTCATAGATTAATAACAATAAAGATAGAACACAAGATGAATTATGTGTTTTTCGTTATCATAGATTAATAAAAATAAAGATAGAACACAAGATGAATTATTCGTTTTTCGTTATCAATAAACCTGAGCCAGAAACCTAAATGAGTAATGCGCATGCCGTATTGAATTACAAGACAGAGAGAGAGAGTATGCGCATGACTATTAATCTGTATTGTTATTAATCTATGATCAAATTGTTTAATTTAGTTATGTAAACAGAGGAAACCATTTAACATGATGTGAGGAACTAATTTTCTTCAGTTAACCTTGATATTATTTTCAACATGGTTCTGGTTTCACATGCTCTAGAAACACCCAAGGAATTTGACTAAATATTAATTTTAAGCAAAAATTTAACACTTAAATTTGGAAAAAAAAAATTTTCTATTCTAAAAATTAATCAAATTATTAAATTTTAAAAAAAAATTTTAAATCTTTTTCTTCACTTTGTTATGGGCAGTTATTTTAAGAAAAAACTACTATAAATAAGAAAATTGAAAACAGTTTATTTGGAAAAAAATTTAGCCTCAAATTTTTAAAAATTCCCCTTGGTGCAAGGTTATGATGTTAGGAAATTTATTTCTGAGGAGTACGCATCTTTTGTACTGCAGTGTACTGTCTCTGGGCGGTAATGTAAACACTAGATGGATGTCACAGCCTGACATGGGATCCATCTTTCACATAAAAAATCAATGAAATAATCTGATCAAAGGAAACTATGATGTGAATTATCAAAATTTTCAAAATTAAAGGCTTTTTTCCTCCTCGGATACTAAACAAACACTGATGCATCTATTCTTGTTTACAAATTCCGCCAGAGCCTGAAATTTAAAAGAGTATCGTTGGACAAAACTCCCGAGTTTCCTTTTTGGGGTCTTAACATTTGTGTAGATTTTGATTTAAGAGATTGGAAAAAAATTGAGAATATAAACAAACCGAATAAAATAATATTTCATATCAAAAATATTGATATTCACAAAACTGCCTAACCCCATTCGTGAAACCCGGGGTTTAAAGCTGGTTTTCAGAACGATACCCTGTCTTAAGTTTTGGGCTCTGAGAGAACTGGTTTCAATATGTCCGCAGAGTGTACGCAACTGTAATTAACTTTCCTTGCATTATATTCTTGGTGTATCCATTTATATTAAAAAATTAAAAATTGAAAATTCAAAAATTTTAAAATTAAAAAAAAATTAAATAATTTTATGATAACTGAAGAATGCCTCTGTATACTCTACATACCTCTCCTTCTTAATTGGAATATTGCTGGCTCCTGTGCAACAATTAGAGATCATTTCTGCGTATTCTGCTAGGAGAGTTTTTGCAAGTTTTATAATTTTTATTAGATTTCAATTGGACTGTCAGCGTAATTTTAATTTCGACCCTCCGGCCTCCATGCAAAGAAAGCAATACTCAATTTATACCGGAAATCTTAATCCATGATCTACAGTGAAACCCTGAATAACGAAAACATCGGAAGAAATAATCAAATGTCGTCTTGACAATTTTTCAAAGAGTTTTATACTATATTGCGTAAATTTCAGTATTTGCGAAAATAAATAAAGAGCCATGAATATGCGGGAACAGTTTTAAAGAGTTCCATATAATCATTTAATTAAAAAATGAAATATCTGCAACATTTCATTATCAGAAAGTGAAGAATACGACATTTGATGAATTCTTTCGAAGTATTATTAAGGGTTTCACTGTAAGATGTGAAAAATTCTGTATTTCTTGCAAGTAAGTCACATTTGTAGAGAAGCAACACATGAACAATACAGTTAAAATAATTAAAAACATGGATATCTAATCTATACTTGATCAGAGCCCGTTCGATCCATGCAATACTAATTAGTGGTCGTGTTGTTCATTTACTTTGGAGGACGATAGTTTGGCCGCTAGATGTCTCACGCAAAATTCTTATTTGATAGATAGATAATTCATACGAAAGACATCTAACGGCTAAACACGACCACTGTAAAACAATATTATGGAGAGAATGGACTCAGGCCAAGATTTATTCATAATCTTTGCATGGTGTGTCATCTAATTTTTGCGAATGTTTTTATGTTAGCAATAGCTGGCCAAATGTCTCCACCATTGGCAGAAATATTTTGAGGGAAGCTGGATGGGTATCCTGGGGGAGGGAGGGAGTCCAGAGTTCCTCAAATAGTAATCACCGCCACTCAAATCTGTTGTGCGGCAAGCGCGCTCCTCAATTGGTAATCTCCACCACATCAAATAGTAATCACCCCAAAAAAGCATAAAATTAAATCGTTTATTTCTTAGAAATAAGACCATATTGACCTCTTTTAATGGCCCTATGGTGTACAATATTGTTAAAGCTTTCTGTATTGCTCCTTAGTTTCGAATATAAATCAATAAATATGCCACACTAAGTGCTAGAAATATATTACGTTTTTTAAGTTTCAAGTTTCGCTTTAAGAATGTTTGCGGCATTTTCCTCTGAATGTTGTTTTAAACTCCTTATATAGAGAGGAAACTTTAACCCATTATTAGTGGACTAAATACTTCATTTTCAGTAGTTGGTGTGATGAGACTAATTTTTCAAAATTTTATGTTTTTTCTATGCATATAATTAGTTTTGTTGTAGATGTTGAACTCGAGTAGGTGAATACAAAAATTTAAACACTGTAAAGGTTTTTTGAAAATATCTTTTAAATGGAGATTGATATTACTTTGGGCGCGATGAGATAATTTTTAGTAAACAGGCAGCCCGACCTTTTTTGTATCTTGACGCAAATCATGAAATACAGTCATTAAAGTGGCGAATTGGATCTAAGATTCGGCTAAAATGAACTGTGCCTTGATTCTCAGTTTTTGTTGACCAAACAAATCTAAAAATAATTTGAAAATTTAGTTCAAGTCAATACAGATGCCATAAAACCCCGATAAATGTCAAAAATTGTGTTAAAAGTGCATTAAATTAAAATCACAGAAAACAAAAATTTACGGTGATTACTAATTGAGGAGCGCGCTTGCCGCAAAACAGATTTGGGTGGCGGTGATTACTATTTGAGGAACTCTGGACTCTGCTAAATATGAATTTGGATTTCTAATTATTTTTCAATTTTTTAAATCGAAATTTTATTTAAACTAAATTTTTAAAAAAATTTCGAAATTTATTCCTTTTCAAAATTCAACAGGCAACACATAAATCATAAAAACTTAAAAACTTAAAAAACAGTTTTTGTTCCTGGAGAAGTATCGGAAGTTTCCTAATCTGGTCTCTACTTCCAATTCTGCTCAACGCTGAATATTATGTCGGAAAGTTTATGGTGGATATTCCCTTCTCTGATACTATCTCTGATGCTATCCTTGTATTTTCTAAATCTGTTTATCTCCTGGCCTTGCCGTCGCTACTGGTTTACCTCCTTCTAAAGGTCAATAAGAATTAGAACTGGGGGTCGTTGACGTTTTCTGAAACGTATTAGGATATCTAAGACATTACAGTGAGACCCATTACAAAGTGGGATAGAAAGACGACTGTTAAACTCAAGTTAGTATTTAAAATAGTTCAATAATCCATAAACACAGTAAGTGTGCAGTGTACACAGACTCAATTCAAATACTTTTTCAAGACATCACTAATTCTTTAAAACAATATAAAAAATTTAAGATGGCTTGAATATCGTCTTCCCTTTCCACAAATCATTTGATTGATTGATAACGAAGAAATGCTCCTCATCTAACAAAAAGGGTAATATCAAAGAGCTTGGTATTGTAAAGAGGAGAAATTAGGTTTTATACGCCAAACCAGACGCCTCAAATGGTTTAAATAAGACGCCACAATATAATTCATAAATATTTTAGAAGTTTTTATGCATATCTCTCATAAAGTGTCACTGACAAAAATTGAAATTAAAAAAGAGTAAATAGTGAGAAATGCTAAACGAATTGCTGCACGAAGCACCAAAGAAAAATGTTGGTATTTTTATCTTAATGTTTATATTTGCCATTCTGCAAGGAGCACGAACATTTGCTATCAAGTCACTTGCTATCAACTCATTTGCTATCAGCCTCACATGCTGTCCCCTCAACTGCTATCAACTCACTTGCTATCAATTCACTTGCTATCTGTTATACTTGCTATCTGTTTCACTTGCTCTCAGCCACACTTGCACTCAGGCCTCACTTGCTCTCGCCACACTTGCTATCAGGTCAATTTGCTATCAGGCCTCACTTGCTATTAAAACGTTTGCTCTCCAGTCTCAACTGCTATCAATGCTCATCTGCTAGAGATGTCAACGATAGTGCAACGTAACGTAAAATGTACGTTTTTGTACGTTACCTTACAATAATGTGTAACGTTTGGATATATTCTATATAACGTGAACGTTAAACGTTAACGTTATAGGCGCTCATACCTAACGTTAACGTTAGAGGAATATACCCCCAACGTTAGCGTTTTGTGGAAATGTAACGTTATTTTTCTAATATCTACAACTTTTTTGACCATAACGTAAAGAAATGTTTTGTTTCCAAGGGGAGCTCGAAAGTCTAACGTTTGAAAAATGAATTGTGATTTGATTGAATATCGTAACGAAAGGATTTCTATTTCAAAGTTCAACTTATAAAAAGTGTAACGTTGTATAACTGAAAAAATGCATTACTGTTTATGAAAACGTTTGGAAACGTTTTCCCTTATAGTATAGTGAAAAATTCAACGTTGCAGAAATGGGTTATTATTT